CATAACCCTGAATTCAGACAAATCGTCCGCCATCCGCATCTCAAAAATACAAATTCCGCCCTGACCGGTTTGGCTCAGTGGATGGAGCGTCGCCCTGCGGGCTGGAAGGTCCCAGGTTCGATTCCAGCAAGGGCATGTACCTTGGTTGCGGGCACATCCCCAGTCGGGGGTGTGCAAGAGGCAGCTGATCGATGTTTCTCTCTCATCGATGTTTCTAACTCTCTATTCCTCTCTGTGAAAAATTAATAAAATATATTTTTTAAAAAATGCAAATTCCAAGAGGGTGGAAAGGGCAGCATGTAAACCATCTCAACTCCTTGCCTTGACATGCCTGTTCTCCCTTTATAAGAGTCAAACTATGGAGTGTGGCTCAGTTGGTTGAGCGTTGCCTAGCGCACGGAAAGGTCGCTGGTTGGATTGCTGATCAGGGCACATACCCAGTTGTGGGTTCAATCCCTGGTCAGGGACATGTGAGGTCATTGTTTCCCTCCCTCTCTCACTCTCATTCTCCCTTTCTCTCTCTCTAACATCAATAAAAACATATTTAAAAAAATAAAATAAAAGGTAAAGGATGGAGGTTCAGACATACACTTTCTGTTCTTTGTGACTATCTGCCTTTTCCTTTTCACTGCAAAGTCAGTCCTCTGTCTGAGGACTATGAACTAATCTAAACAGGACTCTGAGGCAACAGGGGTTACTGTTGTGGGGAGAAAAACTATATGCACTTTAGGACACATCCCATAGCAAAAAAGCCCACAAAAAACAACAACAAAAAACCACACAAGTATTATTAGCATGAATTATGAGTTAACTGGACATGAAGGAAGCAATTACTCCCTTGCAAACAGTCTTCCCTATCTCTTTCATATTTTTTCCAGGCCCAGGTCTTCCATTTGCTTGTTTAATCCTCCATCCTGTTAGGATGAATGTACAGTACCCACAAAACAACCCTCTCTCAAGATTCTCAAGGAGAAAGGTTAAGGGGGGTGGAGGGGTTGGGTGTGTGAGGGGGTTGAGGGAAAAGACAGACACCTTACAAAGTTGTAAACTGTATTGTGACCAATAATGGGGAGGCTGGACAGACTCTGGGGATGGGGGGAGGGGCATCCTGTGCTCAGACTCTAAGGGCCAGTGCATATCTATTTGCCCATCAGGCCTTTAGTCCCAAAACAACTCCTTCCGGCTCTAGGCAGAGGGAAGGCCCATTTTGCAGTCAAGCTTATTAAAAATGCCTCGGAAGATTAAATCTAGAGCATTAGCCAGTTGGCAGGTCTCGAGTTAAACCCTAACCTTGGAGAGGAAGAAATTCTAATGTGACCTATTCCTTTGGGAGCCGTTATTAGCTACGTTAAAAAAAAAAAATCCAGCCCTGTTGGGGTGCAAAGGGTGTTTCTGTCCCATCATTCAGACCAAGAACATCCTCCCCATTCTAGAAACGGGATCCACCCCATCACCAAACCCCACCATTCCACAACAACCAGTCCTGTGGGGGCCGTTCCCCCAGCAGCTCCAACACCTAAAGCCAGTCCCAATCCACCCTTTCAAATGCACATACCCTTACCCAGGCTTTCCCCCATTCCCTACCCTCTAGGCTGGCAAGTTAAGGACTCAAATTGGGCCTCTAGCTTGGCAAAAGCCAAAGTTGGCTGGAGGCATTTGCCCCTCCTCCCCACTCCTGGCCTCACTGTCTATGGCTTGTATAAAAAAAACAACAACACACTGAATCAGAAGATGTTTCAAATATGGATACACAACAGGGAAGATAAACACACATGCCCAGACAGTCCCCAGAGATCAATGCATGCTCCTACCCCACCATTCCCACAGTCCGCCCAGGCCCTGCTTTTGCAACCTTTTACCAAAATGCAACACCCTCTCTCCCCGTCATTCCTTAAGTGTGGAATACTGGCAAACCTACCTGTCTATGCTCTGGGGTAACCTTACACTCATGGTTTCTCGGCGTCTCCACGGTTTCAGAATCTTGTAGGATTGATGACTTGATCAGGATTGAATCCGTGCAATGTTTAAGAAAGATGAGAGGAAGGGCCTCCCAACTTGAAGATTGGATTCTTTTTCTCCAGCTCTCAGGACCCTAGTAACTGAGGCTCCATTCTCCTTTACCAGTTCATATGGTCTGCTTTCTTAGTCCCCTTTTCCCCTCCCCCGTCTTGGGGAAAAAAAAAAAAAAAAAGGAAGGAAAAAAGGAAAAACTATGACCTTAGAAACCAAAAACTCAACCCCAAATCTCTAAAAGGTTAGCGCTATACGCTAAAAAACGAAACACAAAGAATACGCCCTCAAAATAACAGTCTCACTACAAAATACAGATAAAAACCATCCTTTTAATCCAGTTTTCCCAGCTGTCCTTCTGTTGGTAAGAGCTTCAACCTCCAAGGGGGAAAATATTTCTCCGTTCTTCAGGGCTTAAAACGACAACAGATCCATTTGAGAAAAGAGGGGGGGCGATGAATAAATCCGAATTGGCACTTGGAAAAAAAATATCTTCCAGCTGATTTGCACAGCAAAAAGGAAAAAAAAAAAATTAAACCATACAATAGTATGTAAACAAAAGCACTCCTTCCAAGTCCAGTATAACCCTGGAATCAAAATTAAGAATTTCCTTTAAAAAAAAAAAAAACCTTTTACACGAAAGGTTCTGAAATTCTTAAGTGAGCCAATCGCACCAGAAAAAAAAAAAAATTAAAATAAAACCCCACCTGAAATGCAATGCTTTTTTTACCTTTCCAATGGCAGCAATAACCACAAACCAGAGAAAACCTCCTCTCCTTTTCTTTTTCCTCTAAACTCGCAGGCTTTTCCCCGATGCTCAGACCCAGCCGAGGTTCGGCCTTTTCCCGAAAGACATGCCCGGCGTGAGTTCTGCGGCTCCGCTCGCCCGCATCCAGGCTCCGGTCTTTTCTGTTGCCTCCGCCTCCATGAAACAGACGTCGCTTCCTCCCGTCCGCCCTGCGCGCCCTCTCTCCCGGCCTCAACCGCGGCGCCCGGACGCTGCGGGCTCCGGACGGTGGTTGCGGATTTGCGTTCGGGAGGGACTTCCCTCCGCACCAGCCTCGGGAGAAGCCGGCCGCCGGCTCCCCTCCCGGCCTCTTCCCCGGCCC